ACATTATACGAAGTTATACGATTATATATATATATATATATATATGTATACACCGTAGAACAAAATACACATCGCTTTTGCAAAACGCGACAAATATAGTCACCGTAAACGTTTCGTTAACTTTCCGAAGACTCTACAGAGCCTTCTTCATCTCGTGGCGCAAAATAAAATGTTTCCCGCGGCGATCGCAATACGCGGTATAGATTCGTATTTAATGAATAACTCTGCAATTAACTTCGTGGAAATTTGGCTGTATCGCGTATATCGTGCACATCCATTCAACAATTTTCTATTTTGACTAACCACTGAAGAGTACCTATATCGATGTACCTATCGATGTACAGTAGTGCAAGCAATATTACACGTGACTGCTTGTTCATTGATCCGAAGTTAGAAAAAATTGCAATCGAAATCTTTTGGGATTCACGACGTTTTCAACTAAAATAATTCATCGTGATAAAATGGAGAAAGATGTTACTTACGTGTCTATCCTCCGCCGAACTCAGACCTGAAAGCAAACAGATGCACGGATATCAGTAATGCACGCCGCAAGATCAAACAAGTGCGTCTAAGCGCAAGTTTCCATATGAATACACTATAGATTGCTAATCGGGCCTCCGCCACGTGAACGTAAATACTTCAGTTTTAAAGTTATAGACGAGCCGATATGTTATATGCATGTATATGTAAGCCGCGTGTACATCTGTCGCGATAAGAGATGCGAAGAAATCGCGCGAGTTTATATATTGAGAACGATCGAATGTCGAGTATATCGATAAAATGTTAATAACGTGCTGCGTCGTAAAACGACGGTCAGTAGTCCGTGGGGGATGAGGGGAAAGGGCGAGGGCAGATGAGGGGAAAAGGAGGGGAGGGGGTCCCGGATGGCACCCATATAAATGATCTTCATGCATATTTATGCGCGCTTTTCGCTGAAAACCGCCGCTAGCGCGTCCGCTAACAGGGTGACGCAAACACACTCGCTCTGCCGAAAGCGGATACCCGTAATAAAGCGCTTTGAACATTTCCCGGTGAGAGAAAAAGAGGGGCCGTCAAAAGTCTCGTCTATATACGTGCATATATACATGTAATAAATATATACATATATACAATATATATGTATATATACATATATATTCCCCACTCCCTTCGCCCGCCTTCGTTAACTTTGACGATCGGTAGACATTTCATTCGCTCGCGTGGATATGCGATAAATCGGGATTGAACACCGAAATAGTTTCGCTCTAGCACTTGTATCTCCATTCCCGTAAAATCGCGTTGCTAAAAACCTTTAATTGCATCGACACTGAACGCCCAAATACCACTACATAACCGAAATTTTCATAATACTAGGGTAGATACGTAACTTTCCGTAATATAAGGGATTATACATATGTATGTATAATGAGTGTGTATAAGTAGACATATACATATATGTATATTATTATTGAATGTTAACGTTATCAGATCAATTGGATTTGTAGCGTATCTACTCATAATGTACGTATATCTATCTCACAAAGAAGATTAAACACGAAATAAGGTACGTAAATTCAGGACTTTACAATTAATTACAATCATGTTATCATTTTTTTTTTAATTTAAGAGAAACTTTAAGTCTGCTGTCGTCCTCGAACTTGCATTGCAAAAAGGAAAAGCAGAAACTACAATTTCAATAACAAAACACAGTAATAATCATATAGTATATCATTATAATATCAGTACAATTTCGAAAAGTTGTATTAGTTAAAATTATACCGATACTCTGTCATGTCTATGTTTATAACAATCCGTTTTTCCATATCGGTTATTATATATAAAACTGAAAAATATCACCATGCAAATAGTATTTTTTATACCGTTGAATTGAACGTCGACCAGAGGTCGGGATTTTTACCCGAGAGTTTCTCCTTTTTTCCGTTCATCATGATGGATAATAAATACATGTCGATCGCGAAAGACAGAAAGAAGATCAATGCGCTTGCAGTCTTTCGAAATTAAAAAGCATAAAAATTCTCAACGCATAATCGTATAAAAACTGGATTCCGACAAAAAATTATGGGAGATAAAAATTCTGAATATGTCCACAAATGTATATGCGAATCAAAGACGAGAGAGGCGATTCCGGGCCATCCAGGTATATATATAGCGATACAATTGTGCGGCTGCATGTCAAAGATATCGGGAGTACGGTCGACTTACCGCCGTTGCTCTTCAGGTCGTCCGGTTGACCACGGTGGATCTCAGGCTTGACGATCAGGTTTGACAGGGAATGCGCGGCCGCGGTCACGGGGACCGCGGGGGGTCCGGCAGTCAGTCCGAGACCAGACAGCAAAGCCGCGGACGCGGAAGTTGATACCGGAAGGCCGGCTGGCCCCAATCCGGGAAGTCCAGGTAGACCCGGGTGAGCTATCGCCGCCCCCGGTGGTATTTGCTGAGCGTGCATTTGCTGAAGGAACCGCGGTATGTCTGGCCTCTGTTGCTGTAACCGCGCATGCAAAATATCGTTCGTATAAATCGATCCTGCATGTGTATGCGCGCGGTTTTGTCGTATACACGTGTGAAGATTCCCAAGAAACCGCGATTATTAGAGACGATATAATGGGCTACGAAATTGAGAACCCGAAAAAAAAAACTGGCTGTGTATACGCATGCAAAGATACCTGTATTATTACGTGAAATAAAAGAAAATGTGAACGCGAAGGGAGGTAAGCCAGGAGGTAGACGACAATGTTTCAACTTTCAACATTGTTTTAGAATAAAATTTCTGGCCAGTATACACGGGAATACGGATGACGTTAAAAAATAAATATACATCGCGCCCCCGTGAAAACGCTCTCGCGTATAGGGATAAAACTCGCGCGTTATCTCCGATCGCGCGAGATTGAAAAAATCGCACGACCCTCGGCGGCGGCGGCGGTGGACGCGCGGTGCACGTCGAAAATCGCGGCGTTCGTTTCCGGCGCGTGAAACGAAACGTAATAGTCCCAAACGAGGTTTAACGCGCCGTGAATAATATGCGCAACGCGTGTGGCGCGGGAACGGAGGAAGCAGCGTGAAGGGAGAGAGAGAGAGAGAGAGAGAGAGAGAGAGAGAGAGAGAGAGAGAGAGCAAGCGAGAGAGAGACGGAGGAAGGGAGGGAAAGAGAGAGAAACAGAGAAGGATCGGAGAATCCCGCGACCGCGCGCGTCATCGCGTTTCGCCCGAGGTGCAGAGCGTGGGAGGAAGACGGAAGAGGGTTGTGGAGGGAAAGCGGGTGGATGGAGGACTATACGTTCCTCGCGCAGTGTTATTAAACGAAATATTGATTCAACCTCTGTTTACCGAATAATACATATTCATGAGGGTTAGCGCTTCTGTCTATTTGCCTTCATCGTCCCTTCGGTCTGCGCCGCGCCGCGCACCCTTTCCCTCCGCGCGCGCGGCGTTTTGTGTGCCACCGCCCGCCGCCTCCTCTACCCCGTACTTTCCACGAGTCGTGCGAATCCCTTCGTCACGAGAACCCCTCTCGACAGCCCGTAACATACTAGCACGCTAATTATATTCCGCGTATATATACAGTGACGCGCGTCACGTAATGACAGATTGGCGAGATTGCGGTTTGTGCCTTGTCCGAGGGGTCTTTTTTTTTCGCGCGGTTTCTCGTCTCGATCGAATGCGCATCTTCGCGCGGGTAAAATCTAGCGAATGTTTTCAACTCTGCGATTTAGGTATTAATTTATCGATGGAAACACTTCCCGAAAGATGTACAAGAGAAGATATACAATCCAAATGTATATATATAATTGTTATTTCAATCGTGAGACAAATATTTGTGTGTGTGTGTGTGTGTGTGTGTGTGTGTGTGTGTGTGTGTGTGTGTGTGTGTGTGTGTCAATAATTCAGTATAATTATTAGAGGTTTAAAGAAGAACACGTATACATTGATTTCAAATTTATATGTACGTTGATTCGACTTTAAGCATCAGCTTCTTTCGGCATGCGCTCGTCTCGACAATGGCGTGTCAGTCCTCGGGACTGACAATTATTCCAATCATGCGCGCGAGAATCAACTCGGAACTTAATTATACGCGACGCGTCTGCCGAATGTCAATCCCGTGTTTCGCTACCGCGCGCACGCAATTGCGTTTATAAGCCCCATATCGCGGGTATATGAAATAAAGAATTAAAATCCGGCACGCCGGTAAAAAAAAGTGTGACAATATAACGCAATAATAACCGATAAATAAAAGAAGTGTTCCTTTGCCGGAAAGTTTGGAAAATATCGGATAGCTTGCAATGCGAGCGCGGGCGTATAACGCGTTTCTCTCATTGTATTATAATCCATATACTTACGCCCATTATGCTATTTAATTCGGTCATCGTGACTTGTTTCGCCCTTTCGAAAGCACCAGCCACCTGCTGTTGATGGTCTTGCGAAAGAAAGGGCAAAATTTGCGTGACAAGGTTGCTCAATCTCTTGCATATCTCCGTCTGTAATGGCAAAATACAAACAAATGATAAAACGGATAATAATTACGATAATAAATCAAAGAGATCTTATTACAAATATAACTTGATATACGATACATTTGATAAGTTAGTGTAGATAACAATTTAAAGATTTAATATTTGTCATATTAAGATCACATCGCGGAGAACGGGGTTTGATAAAAATTCATGCAAGGAAGAATCCGAAAACGCGCTCCGGGATTCGTATAAGGAGCCCTCGAATATTTTCGATGTGTTGCGAATGCGCGTGTTTTTAAGCCGATGGCTCGACAGGCGGATTAAGAATTCTCAGAAACGGAGATATAGAATGTGGAACGCGCATCGTGCAACGCGGGGGTAATAGTTAATAGTTTAGCTCTCCCAGCTGCGGTCTCGGAGAGCTGCAGGTTCCGCCGCAGCGTGTCTCGAGAGGAGAGACGCGTCGAGTGAGTAATGAAAGCGCGAGTTAGGCGGTGACCGTCTAACGCTTCGTCGTCTTAAACGCGCGAGTAACGAGCGAGGCTGGCTACATATTTCTGACCGGGAGGCGATCCGCTGTCAACGGGGCGTTCCACTATTTTCGTCGCGTCCGCGCGCGGTCTTCGCCACGCGGGGCCAGCAATATACGACTAATACGACCGTGCGTATATGCGCGCGTGCGCGTATTCCGAGAATAAAGGCACTCGCGAAGCGAACGTAAGACGTACGAAATAATGAGACGATATTTACGGAGCCGAGCCCTCCCACCGACGAGACGACAACGACGACGATTCTCCGTGAGAATCTTGAGATGCCTTTGCCGTTCTTTGAACCTGGCCCAACGACCGGTAGCATTTGCCGGACATAAGTCATAAATGAATATATGTATATATATAGGTACACTGAGAGAAAAAAGATGTAAAATATAAAAAATATTTTCTTGATTCAGCTACACACGACCGTCACGGGCTGTCAAACAATTATTTGCTAATTTAACAAAATACTTGTTAATTCACAAAAGTATCATATTGATGTTGTTGATGTATGTTTATCTCAAATATAATTGAATTGAATATATATAATTGAATTAAAGAACAACTGTATATATAACTGTATATAATAAAACGCATTTAATCATTATATCAACAACTTTTTTTTAGATAGAAAGACAAATATAGATACACACAGATAGAGAAATTTGTATTTCATTCTATGAGCTAGAGAAATTTTTGTATTCCACGCGTATACGAAAATGTAACAAAAGATAAATAAAGAAGATCAGAGAATGAAGAAAAGATTATGATACATAAGAATAAAATGTAACAAGAACATATAGAGGTAAATAAAAACAGAATGCAAATCAGTAATGATAGCACTTGGAAAATAAAACTGCTTTAATATGTAAAAAGAATGTAAGTAAAAGAATATAAAAAAAAAGTTCTACACCTTATACAAGAGGAAAACGTGCTTTTTCTCGGCAACGAAAATCCAAGATTGCAGTGAAATAAAAAGTTTCAAACTCACCTGCTTATGCATCTCCACGTTTAGGCCATATGACATTTCATAATACTGCAACAGAAAAATTTTCCATGATGTATTTCAGTAATTGACTTAACAAATCGGTATGCAATTGGAAAAAATCTTCAGTGACATATTTTAATAATTAATTAACTAGAGAACGAAAGAGCAACTGAGAAAGAGAGAGAGATAAATTTTCCGTGATAAATCTGTATAATTAACTAAGAAACCAACGTAATCAACAAGAAATCGAGGATGTTTTTTCAAAAGGATGGCGGCGATTGCATCGCGAACCAGAGATTTCCCTCGATTTGTCCGGCTGGAACGGTTCGAACGGAGCTGTTTCAACTACGCTAACGTGTTATTAATTATCGCTAATCGCGATAACGTACTCGAGTCGGCCGAGTTGTATTTGAGAGGTGGGCCGCGGTTGCAGTTGCAAAGAGAACGAGATGGAGAAGGAGAAGGGAGAGGAAGACAGAGTGCGCGCGCGCGTGAGAAATACGAGACGAAGAGGCGAACGCGTGTAAACGCGCACCGACCTGGGTTACAGGTTCTTAATTTTACGGGCCATTAGCCCGGTAATTACTCGGGCGAATTAATTGCGCTTGTAAGTAAGTTATTTCACTCGGGGAGATAGACACAGCGAGCGAGAAGGTGAAGGCAGAGAGAGAAAGAGAGAGAGGAGGGGGGGGGGAGGCGAGGGAGGAAGAGATAGAACGCTGGAAACCGGGGTGCCGAGGGGTGGAGGGCGCGCTAACGGAGGCCGTTGAGAGATCGGTCGGTTGCAGCGGCAACAGCATCGACCAATGGCACACTCTTTTCCCGAGGGCAACGGCGTTCGTTCGTTCGTTACGACGAGCGGTGCAACATCCTTAACGCGCGTTAACGAGGCCAGCGTCGCGCATCGGGGGCGACGGGGTGGAGGCGAGAGGAGAGAGGGAGGGCGGGAGGGAGAGAGAGAGAGAAAGGGAGCATTCGTATCAAATGGACTAAAGCAGAGATTAATTGCGTTTAAACTAGTGGCCCGCGTGCCGCCTCCGCGCCGATTAGGTCGGCGAATTAAAACGGTAACGATAAATTGACGGCGTGAAACTCGCGCAACGACGCCGCGTTTCCGATTTAATTATCGCGTCTCCTCGCTCGACGTTCCCAATAAAGAAGATAAATAAAGGGAGCTGCGTAACGTGGGCGGCGGTTGCCGGACGCCGCGCGCGAGATCTCGAAATCGTTGCCAAATTCGTTTAAAAATGGTTAGACAATCTCAAGTTTATTTTCAATCTGATTTAGCGTCACTTCCGGATCGACTCCCTCTCTTCGATCCTTCTGCAGCGTCGCGAGAAGAGATTTCAGGACCCTTCACCCCGAGGATCGAGTATACTTCTCTCCCTCTCGCGGGCTTCTCGAAAGTTCATAAATAACTCTTCGTCGCGACGCCCCTCCGTCCCCGTCGTTTCTTTTCCCTTTTTGCTTTCTCGCGCCGTGGGAGAGCGCGCGCGGTGGTGGGCCGATCGCGAATGCGAGTGGCATAGGATATGAGGAGGCGCTCGAATATTAACGAGACGTAGACCGCCGCCGCCGCCGCCGTCGCCGCCGTGTGACCTAACAGCCGTATTACTTCGTCATTAAACGTGCGAGACAGCTGCGCTTGTGCGAACGTCGTAGACTAATTCGATGAGAGCCACTGGCTCTTAGAGTCATTAGCTATGCACGAGCGCATACATACATATACATATACATGTATCTACAGTATATCTGACTACGTTACGCGCGGCGTATAACGAGCCAATGTAAAGCCCCGACCCCGGCGGCGGCACCGACTTGGAGGATGCAATTAATGCTAAGAAGCCGAGGTGGTTTAGCGGTCGAGCGAGCATGATTATTCTGGATACTGGAGACGGGGGAGAGAAAGGGGAAGACAGAGACAGAGAGAGAGAGAGAGAGAGAGAGAGGGAGAGAGAAGGAGGGTCACAAGGAGGCAAGAGGCAGTCGAGGGAAACGTTACGACTAACTGGCACGTCTAACTTTACGACGCAGCAATGATTGCACTTACCATCACGTAGTGTCGCTGAATCTCGATCTTGTCGTTAGCCAGTTTCTCGCAGTCTAGCTTCAGCCTGCGGAAAGAGAGAAAGAGAACGTAACGTGAAACGCATGCGAAAGCAGTCGTCGCGGGAGTCGTGTCTCCCCGCATAGGTCGCCTCTCGGTTCGAATCGAGACGGCGAGGGGAACGCGCGAGAGAACGCGGAAACCTGCACGTTTCTCTCTCTTTTCGCGAATAGAATATGCTCCGTACGTGGCGAGCGAAAGAAAAAGGGGAGGGGGGACGGGTGGAAAAAAAAAGAAAAAGCGAGGAAAAGGAAGAACCGTACCGTCGGACAACGAGAAAAGTTTCGATCCGCGTACACGAGCAGCGCGCGCGCGTGCTGCTGAAAAATGCAAGGCCCGTCGTAGCGTTCCCCCGTAGCGTTCGTGAAACTCTTCGAGAGAAGCTCCGAGTTCGTATATTCGCGAACTGCCATTACGTATCTGTCGTGCAACTACGTTCGCGGGATATAACGTGCACTCCGTCGAGCTCGCGCAGCTGCGCCCGTTCCCAGACCTTTTTCTCTCCGCAAGCGCGCGCGATACGACTCGATCGCCGCGGTCTCCTTACGCGCGCGTTTCCGCATCAGAGACGGAGAGTAAGAAGAAAAAGAAAGAGGGGGAGGGGAGAGAAAAGAACCGAAGACTGCACGTCGCGGAGGGACGGGAGAGTGCCTCTCTTCTTTTCTCGCGCAGGCCGCATCAGCGCGAGATGTTCGGAGCGCGCGCGATATCGTTATCGTGGCAAAAAGCACGTGACTTGCGCCGATATATTATACTCACGAATGGTACTGCGCCTGCAGGAAGTTGAACTCCTCCTTGATCCTGTCGCAGGACTCGGGGACCGTGAACTTGAATGGCTGGCTGGGTTGCGGCGGGCCCTGCGGACAAAAGAAGAAGAACGTGAGAAACTCATTTTATACACCTCAGCATCAGTCGTCGCATCTTAGCCAATATACGATATATATGAATACGATCGATCCAGTGTTCCAGAAACCACCGTCATCAACGAATCGACATCGATCTATCTGTGCCCTCCCCCGAGATCTCTCTCTCCCTCTCTCTCTCTCTCTCTCTCTCTCTCTCTCTCTCTCTCTCTCTCTCTCTCTCTCTCTCTCTCTCTCTGCCTCCCGAATAATTAACTCCATACAGCTGTTCGACCGCAAAAGGGCAGGGGTGGCGCCATGCGAGCGAAAGTGATACGAGGTCCGCGGTAGATTGGAGCTAGCACACGACGAGGGGTGGGGGGGGGAGGGGAAGTGGCGAGGGTTGATAGTAGAGATGGTTAGATGTAGACGCGCACACACGTATAGAACGCGTGTGCACGCGCGATTACATGGGGATGGGGACCGGGCGTGTGTTATACCGGCCGGCAATAGTCGGTTAGCGTCTCTCGGCCCGAGAGAGCTGCGACGGCAGCTCCACTCTCTCTCTCCCTCTCTCTCTCTCTCGCGCTCGCGCGCGCGCGCGCGGAGAGAGAGCAAGTGTTAATTACATGTTTGCGGTGTCCGCGAGGATTACACGCTACAACCGAAACTATGAGCCGCCTGGGCTCGTATGAACACGCGACGCGTATGTGCGCCCCGTGTATACGGTGCGCGCATCATAAATATGCTATATCGTTAACGACGTCCTCCGTAAACGAACATCCGCGTCCTTCGGCGGATCCGTAAATTACACGACGCGGCGAGCGCCAGCGACACTGATATTTGTTGACGGCACCATCATGTGGAGTTAACATTTGTCCGACCTCCTCCGTCTAAGCTAATGACATACGTTGAACTTGAATGAATGAATACTTGACTCGAAACAATGAGCGCGCCAATGTTTCAAGGCGTCGTCGCCTCTCGTCGGTGGGGATAAGGGTCAAAGTCGCCTCTCGAGAAGAGCGAGACACAATGCGTGTGTCCCGTCAGCGCGGTCGAAGGTTGTACCCGCTAAATTCTCGAAACTGGAGGGCTGGAGCAGACGCGCGCGACAATGGCGCGGGCGAGCGTGAGAAGAAAGGAGAGTTAGGTAGGATAGGTACATAGGTAGGTAGGTAGGTAGGTAGGCTGGCGGCTGGCTGGCAGGCAGGCAGGCAGGCAGGCAGAGAGGAAACGGATAGTCGGATGGAGGTCGCCGTGGCGAGAGGAAGAGAGGAATTGCGGGCAGAAGAGGAGGGAAGGGACGGGTGTCCAAAGGTGGCCACGACGAGGGAAGTTGCGGTTTTCGCGGTCGCCGTGGTTGCGGCTTAGGCAAATTGAGATAGTTCGCAAACCACCAACCAGCTGACCTGGCCGTCACGCCAGGATGCGCCAGGATGGCACATGCCGCACGCTGCACGCCATGCCGTCTCTCTCTCTTTCTCTCTTATCTCTCTCGTTCTCTTTTCTTCTCGCGAGCTAGAATCTAGCGGAAAGATCCCGACGCGGTTTCGTGACGCCGCCTCTCCGTGCAATCATTCATGAATCTTCTCAACGATCGCGAGACGAATTAAACCGTTAAACGCGCCGCGGCCAGTGCCGCGATGTCGATGCGCCGATGCGTTGATTCCGGCGATATCGCAAGCGCGATCGAGTACCACTGGCGGCCGGGCAAACAGCACTGTATCGTATTTGTGTGCTTAGCCCGGCAAATGTTAGCCAGCATATCGCTTATGGTGCTTGTTGAGCGAGGGTGATGGTCGATAGTTTCCGTAGCGGCGACGGCGGCGGCGACGCGGCGGAGGGAAAAGGGTGAAGAGAACTTCTCTCGCTCGCTCTCTCTCGTATAGCGCGTATAGGTAACACGGGCGTCGCGTTCGCGTCGGTTTAGCGCCGATCCGACGACGTGGACGTGGAACGAACGAACGAACGAACGAACGAACGAACAAGCGAACGAGCGAACGAGCGAACGAGCGAGCGAGCACGAACGCATACGTCGTGTTTGTCCATCCGTCCATATGGGGCCGTGTTTGTCCTTGCCTCTCGCTGTTTGAAGAACGTCGGGATCCCGGTCTGTGCAAACTCCTCATTATTGTGAACAGTGTACACGGGGCATAAACGCGCGTGCGCGCTCGCTCGGCCCGCCCGAAGTTACACGTGTCGAGTCGCGCGTCACGTGCGCGCACACACGATCGCGATATACTTTTTTCCATCCTTTTTTTTTTTATTCACTTGACGGGAGCAAGACGCGGCACGTTTGGCCCATGCGACAAAAACGATTCTCCCCTCTCCCCTCCCTTCTTTTCGCCGCCACCGAAAGCAAAAAAGTCACGGAATCTCTAGGGAATTTTCGTGATTCCGCTCGCGTCGTTTCTCGCGCGTCCTTCTCGTCAAGATTTCTCTTAAGACCGGTTACACAGTTAACACGCATTTTTCTAGAGTGACGCGTTTAAGTCTAAATTCGTGTACGCGATAACGCGGTGATTTAGAATTTTATGATTGTGGTTAAATTAACGACCGTAATTAAGTCAGCCCGATTGCATCATCTGCATCATCTCTAACGCCAAAAAGTCTCACTTATTTACCGCCGCGTCGTCGGTCGCCTAATTACGCTTAAGAGAATCGCTCAGCGTCAATATTTTACATTGTTGTTAAGACATTTCGGCAAAAATTTCAGCAAGAGCAGCGAGCGATTAAACAGTCGGGCGAGACAATTCAATATTTCTTATCTGACGGCTCCGAGTCTTAAATCTTGGAAGATGGTCGACAATCAAATCAACCCGAGTCGAGTTATACGAGCCACGGGTGCGACGGTTTTTCTTTTTTCTAGATTGATTAGCGACGAATAACGATTAATTAAACAGTTAAATACACTTCTCGCGAAGTCTCGAGCATTAACGGCGCGTCGCTTCGACACGATAGAAATCTTCGTGCTCGAAAAAAATCCTTAACTAATTAATCATAGACTCAGTGATGAGAGATAGTTTTACACGTCTAGACACGAGCCCAGACTTCAGCAAAAACCGGAGAGTATAAAAATGTAAAAAGAACAAATACATTTAAAAAAAAACACGTGACAAAAAGATTAACGAGTGAACGAAGATATAAACATCAAAAGCGGTATTGATATTCTCTTTTGCATTAAAAGATTTTGACCAATTCTGTTCAATAGTCGATTACATTATTTTCCAGATTTGATGAGTCTTTTATATTAACACACTTTTTTTTCTTTTTTTCACATTCAAAATACGATCTTCCATAAGATATGAGTCTCATCAGAGACTTGCATCATCTCTTCTTGGAAGATGGACTGTTCGCCGGCAGTTGAGAAAATTGCCGCTGCTTATCCACTTATCTGCGCACCTATCACAGCGTAATATAATTTTTACGGAAAAAAATGGCATCTGCAGTACTGGCCTGAATTACGGCCCAGGCGATTTAATGCCTTTCTCATTATTCGCAGGTCGTGAAAAATAATAATCTCTCTATCGCATTTCGAATCAGGGATTTTTTTTTCCCCCCCATCGGAATGTGTGCCGTCTTTTTGTGAAGTGCGAACGCATAATGATCGGCTTAGCAGTGTGAACGGCAAAGATTGGTGTAAGCTCCGTATATCTTTAAATACCAAGATTTCGACGGTTCTCGATTCGATCCGGGCAATAGATCTAATTTCTGTGGGACAGTCGCGTTTCAGGGGACGGCAGGATTGTCGGTTTAAAGGGCTCAATGTTACCACAAGAGAATCCTATATACGTTCGCACACGTATGGGCGTGCGCTCGTGTATGTGTGGTGTGTGGTGTGTGTGTGTACAAGAGGAAGGTAGGAGAGCGGGACAAGGAGTATCCGTTGAAACTTTCCGCCTGGGGTTTCGTAATGATCGACGGGCCGGTTTGCCCGGAAATAATATTTGTACAGCTTGTACGTAAACAGCCCTGGCGGCCCTGCAGAGTGCCAATAACCACCGCCTGTGTCAACTCGGTCAAGCACCGGAGCGTCACGGCGAGGAGGACGACGACGGTGACGAGGGGCGACGGCGACGACGACGGCGAACGGTGACGGGTCATGATACCAATCGTCTCCGGAGATCGAAAGCGCGTCGGCGGTACGATGATAATCCCGATGACGGTTGACAATGACTTGGCCGAAAGCGCCGAAAGCCGTTCGACATTCGTGACGGATAAGTGCCCGGCTCTTTACGTTATTTTCTCGTCTCCTCGCGATTTACGTCACGCGACGCGAATTAATCGAGAGCATAGGATGGACCTCCTCTCCTCCTTTCCGATAATCAATAAATTTCGTTATACTGTCATGTATTAATACGTGAATCAGTTCCCGCATAGATTACGATGTTTCTTCGAAAATTGACGGCGTTCTGTCCGTGTCGACGTTTAATTGACTCCGCTTGCGTTGCTCGTCACTCGCGCGATAAAATTGTACGGTGTGTTGTTAAAAATGTGACGCATCCCACGTCTCGTTCGCAACAGTTTTCATCCGTCTGAGATTCTCGACGCGTATGAGTGTCGGCGAGAGTGAGAAAGAGAGAGATAGGGAGACAAGAGAGAGAGAGAGAGAGAGAGAGAAGGACGAGGTGGGCAACTGTTTGCACGTGACGAGATTTATAATGCTCGCGCCAATTGCACGTAACACGCTTCGCTCATTCCACGGTGTAATTCATCGCGGTGTAATTACCAATGCATATTGCGGTTCTGCGGAAGCGCGCGCGCGCGCAAGTGAGCGAGCGAGCGAGCCTGCGGCCCGCAAATTTCGTGGTGCGCGCGCGATATCGTTTGGCGGTATCTCTCCTCTCTCTCTCTCTCTGTTCTCTCTTCCTCTGTCTCGATTTCAATTTTGTCCTCGTCTCTTCTCGTCGCGCCGACAAATAATTACAACGGGAGATACCGGCCTGTATATCGTCGCTGGTCGAACGCTAATGAGATCGTTCCGTCGCACGCTTACAAAAGTACAAGCTTAGATAAAAATGACACAAGTACGCGGAATAAGTAGACGTATACATCGCCTTTTATATTTATATAACGTAAAAAAAAAATTCAAGTGCTCTTTTGGTCAAATCAACCGATCGCCCGAGTAATCCTGCCTACTTTCTCCGCAGGAGAAGCATGTCACACCTTCACCGCTAACGTGATATCTTATTGTCAACATGTGCGCGCGCGCGATAATAGCGAGTGGATACAAGATTAAATACTTTGAGGAGAGGAAAACGGTGGAAAATCTGTCTGCAAAGCCTCGATATACGTACGCCTGACGCGCTGATTTATTTTCGCATTAGCCACGGAAACGCGTCTCCGCGTGCGGTGTCCGCGCGCGTCGCGCGACCGCAAACGTCGCCGCTAATCGCGCGGCGCAGCATCGAGAGCGACCATCCTCGTGCGACGCGCTCCTCTTTTTTCCTCTCCCTCGCGTGTCCATTTTCTCCACTTTTCGCGCTCAACTCTATTTTTTCTTTTTTTTTCATTCATCGCCTCGCTTTTCCGGACGGTCGCGGGTAATCATCGGAGCCGCCGTGTGCGCGACGGCAGCTATAGATATGACGCAATTGCGGATACCGGGCGCGGGCGGGCTCCGCGGCGGCCCTCCCGCGCCCCGCGCCCTCGCACCGCCGCACCGCGTTATATAGATTTATTTTCGTCGTTCGCGTACGAGCTTTTCCGCTTCGGCTCGCCGGGTGTTTACAGTCGAATGAAAATTTGCTCGGCAGCCAAATATTTTTCCGTCGTCCGCTAGCTCTGTCCGCGCGCGGCCCGCGTTTCGCTCACGCGTTTCCTCCTCCTCCTCCTTCTAACGCCCTCCCTCTCTCCATACAACGTAGGTCAATTTCATCCGGCGCATGTATTTATACACGGGTGCGCTCAGATATTTAGCACAGAGGAACCTGTGCGTGCGTGCGTGCGTGACGGACGAGGGCGCGGGACATTATCGAGCATCACTCGAAGGGAG